AAATACTACTCAACACGATGGGGTGATGAGGCCACACTAAAGCACGCTCGACTCGCCAAGAGTAGAAAGAATCAAGTTGTCTCTAACTGCGTTCGCCGAGGATAAACTTCGACAGCCGTCACTTGGGACGTTGGTCGAACAAACGCTAAAACAGCTGTTAGGACACCCGTCCAACCCCTACGAACAATCAACCCTTACCTGCAGGCCTACCATAACCATGTTTTGCTCGGCCGCGTTGGACGACACGACACCCCCGATGGCTGTGTCGGTGGGTCCAGCGTGGTGCGTCCACTTGACAAGTTCGTGGGGTTTCTTCGGGTCCAATAGAGTNGTCCAACCCCTACGAACAATCAACCCTTACCTGCAGGCCTACCATAGCCACGTTCTTCTCGGCCGCGTTGGACGACACGACACCCCCGATGGCTGTGTCGGTGGGTCCAGCGTGGTGCGTCCACTTGACAAGTTCGTGGGGTTTCTTCGGGTCCAATAGAGTGGCGTAGGCTTTCGGCTTCGTTGGCTTGACCTTGGTGTCCATGAACTTGGTGCGGGTTGGCGCCCTGGCTGCGTGGTAGAGCCAGTGGGTCACAGTCTACCGAGGCAAACGAGAGCACATGAAAAGTCGGGAGAAGAACAGCAGTATGTCAGGACACGCATTCTGTTTTGAGCGACAAGCTTCGGGCCCGGTAGATCGTCGCAGAAGATATACGGTATGGGTGTTGCAACTTTTGGGAAGAGTGGAAACCAACACAAAGTAATGCCCAACATCAGGTCAAAACACTTGCAACACAAATAGGATACACAAGCTTAGATTGGATACAACTACAAGACTCCAACTACAAAGTGCACCGTTGTATGCTTGGCACAGCAGCGACACGTGACTTCGGCACATCTTAATGAATGAAAAGTTGTGGTACACATTCGTACCCCTTTTCAACCCAAGGTTTTCGTCTGAGAACACACGCACCCACTGGTTTTAAGCAGAGGGATCTGCACGTGAATGTCAACCAAACCCTCCAAAACTCGTGCCCAATATTTATGGATTTCCCCCGTGCCATCGCAATTGCTCTCCATGCTCAGTATGAGATAGCACCGTATTTTGGAAAAAAAATGGTTTTCGACGACCCCCCAGCCCCACGAAACAGAGAGGCATCGTTTCATCAACTCTAAATTTGCTGCTACTGCCGTACATACAGTTATGGATATATAGGTTGCAAAGTGGTCATGAGGGGGAGAGACTTGAGGGTGTAACCCATCCTAAGGTTGTTTGCTACCGGGAGAAAGGAACGGCACGACCACACACGCTTTGTGACTGACGTCTATCTTGTCAGCCGGTTGGTGCGGTCGATGCAATTGATACATGGTGAAAACACACACAAACTCACGTCGGGTCGGTAGGTTGTAGTCCTTTCCCGGGCGTGAGGCAGCCGCAAGGGGCGAGCAATGTCCTGCAGCTGAAATGCACGGGAGATAAACGTGCACACCCGCCCGAGCAGTACATACGAGGCGAACGTCACAAGATGTCGGTCGTGGGTGGGCTTTTGGTGTTGCAAGACTTCAGGGGGACAAAGACAGACAGGCTCGTCGGTTGTGACGAGAGACAGGACAGAGAAACCTGCACTATGTGCGTACTTCCCATCTTTCGAATACAAAGAGGAGGGTGTGAGTCGTATGTTGTACAGGTGAATACACTTTTACACTTGTGTGCGAAGTGCGTACACCAACAGAGGCACAGGGTCACAACTCCTCTCACCTGTCCAGAGGCCTCGGCAAGTGCTTTGATGTGATGACGAAGGCACCATCTCCACACAGTGTTGGGCGCGTGAAGGGTGATGGTAGGTTCGTGCGACTTGCGCTTGTCCGTGAAGAGAGTGGTCTTCGGGCTGTTGAGTATCTCCGCCATGTCGACGTTGTTCTTCATCATCCTGTAGAACCACGAGTAGTTGTCGGTGTTCTCCTTGTCGCAGATGCTGGTCGCAACGTGCACCAGCTTGTTGTCGGCGTCCGTGCCCGTCGCGACCAGCATCATACCGTTCCAGTCGCCCTTCAAGTGGCCAGCATCCACGCAGAGTACCTATTTCACAAAGAAACGGGCGTGCCGGGGAATAGATGGCCGGGTCGGCGAGAGAGTAGGGTTATCTGGTTCGGTGAAAAGGCACCGCTCCCGCCCGTGCGCAGCTGCAGCGGTCCAAGGTGATTGGTTCGCGGCACCTGTGTTGGACCAAGTAAAGTACGCGTACGGTGGGCCAAGGAAACCAAGCGTGTCAACCAAGCGAACCACGGGGGGGGGGGGGATGTCTGGGAGGGGGGGCTACCCCACGTGTGCGTTGCATCATGAAGCAAACTACGCCTGCGATGGACCAGGCAAACTACGCGGGTGGTGTGACCCAGCATGCAACGCGTACTGGTGTGATCCAGCATCCAACGGACTGGTGCTGCTGTGACCCACCATTCAAGACAGACTATTATGACCTATATGTACACGTAGCGTTGAACGCGTCCTGTTCGTGAGCTCTGGCAACAGTACTTGCCGTGCGGACTTGGGGCTGCTGTTTAACTGGTTGAATTAGCACGCGATAGAGAAGGCACGAAGGAAGAGAGAGCGGAAGGAGAGAGTGCCCCGAACTCACGAGAAAAACGGGGGCTCCATGCTCTCACCAAACTCTCTCGCCACATACCTCTCCAGGTATATCCTATCTGCGTCCTGCGAAACGGCTACTTTTGGCTTGTCTACTCCTACGTACGAACACGTTCCACAGCTACTCATAGAAAGCAGAGGAGACAATCACGCTCCAACTGCTGTATGTGCACATGACCTTCATCGAACACATATAACAACATATTCGCCTGATTGAGAGCGAAGTATCTTATTGAGAGCGAGAGCCGAAAATATTGAAATTTCGGGTCCAGACGCCTCTTGCCATTTCTTGGCAAGTAGGGGACGGGCTATTCCAAGAAGCGGTGCAAAATTGAAGGTCTCATCAGCAGCTTCGCGAGCATATGCGTGTCATCGTCATCGGATGCTGCAGCGAGGAGCTAGACAAGTTGCTAGATTTGCCCAGATTGGCTATTTCTGCTCAAACTGTTTCAGGGCGATATCGCGTAGGGCGTTGGGCTTTGCTGTAGCTTCTGCTCCCCGCTGTAGCTCCACAACGAGAGACTCCCACAGGATGACCAGGGTAGCGGCTTGAAGCTACGGGCTAGCCCTTCAATTCAAGCTACACAGCAAGCTCCACCTCTCAGTGGTAGTCCGGCTACAGCGTATCGCGCAATCTCGCTCTCAATCAGATGCTACGCTCTCAATCAGGCGAATATGTTGTTATATCCACAGCTACCGCTGCTGATTGGTGCACACTATTGTATCTCTCAGAGCTGTGTGTAACTGTCGCTGTGTGTATAGGTCTGTACATGTGTTTCTAGTAGCGGTACAGCAGGAGCTTCTGCGTTCACGCCGCACGCATGTATGGGGAGGAATCCCCGCATACCCCCCCATTACAACAATTCTTTGAGCAGCAGGGCGGGGGGGGAGGGGCAACACCTCCGGACATGTCTCGCTTCATTGTGCCCGGGGCTGCGGGACGCGTATCCCCGGCAAAGCAAAACGCCCATACAACACAGCAGCAGCAAGCAATACAGCAGGCAATCCACAAGTGCACAACAGCCGCCAAGCACATGCTGCTCTACTGCATGGCTGCTACTGCTGTAACAGACGCCTGCTACTGCCGCCATTACCTACAATTGTAGCAGAACGGATTACACTGCAACAAAGCACCATACCAACCACAACGCACTGCCAGCAGCAACAGTTTGTTCCGAATGTTTCGGGGCGAACCACACAGAGCAGCGTGGCCAACGCTCCCTTCAAAGCGTGTACATGGACAGGTACAACCACACATATGCATACATCATCGACGAAGACACATACACAACATACGGCGTCATCACAGCAGTTGCTGCACCTATCTCTCTATCCCTCGATCTGCCCAACTCTATCATGCTTTCTCTCTTGACTGAAAGTTACTGCTGCATTGGGACGGAACCGCCGCATACCCCTCCCACTACAACTTGTACAAGCAGGGGGAGGGGGCGGGAGGCAAAACACCTCCGAATATACTGTGTTTAGACCTCGAACGGGTAGTCTTTCTGTGTTGGTTGTCTGCTAAACATTTCAATCACCTCTGGTGGTGTGTTATCATGATGATGGGCGGGCCCTCCAAAAATAGCCCATAGTCTGCAACACAACAACATCCAGGTTCAACGAGCGAAACATCTTTCCAAGCAACTCCCACGCCACCATAATTCTCGCAAACAACTAGCCCACCTTCAACGGACTTTCCGCGACCACGTGCGCCGCACGTCCGAGCATGATGAAACATCGCTTGAAGGTGCCGTCTGGGTGTTTCTGCCAGAAAACCGGTGGTGGGCGCGGGGAATGATCCATGAAGAACGAAACCGTCAATTTTGCAGAAGACAGAAGATGCAATGTTGGCGCGAAGCATACAAGCAGAAGGACAGCCAACGATAAACAGAGACGATGCTCACAAAATTGAATACACGTTTGCATCATACGAGACCAAATGGTACGAAGACGGGGGGACGATAGACAGCTACAGACGAGGCGGGGGCAGGGGGGCTAGAGAGGAAAGACAGAGAGGTGTAGCGACAGAGAGCGAAGCACCAGCCCGTTCCAAATCTACAAGTCTATTCGGTTCGCTTTCCTTGAACCTCTTTGATACTTGGACATAAAAGGGATGGAAAAGTCGAACGTTAGGATTGCATGGAAGCTATTCAAAACAGGTTTCAGGGCAGCTTCCATGGAAGTATTCAACCTCGGGTTAGCTTCCACGGTGTTAGCGGGGTTAGGGTAAGGGAAGGGAAGCTGGGATGGTCACATGCCCAGACGCTTCGGTGGAAGATGCTTCATGGTATTTTCGGTGCTTCCAGGGAAGTTGATTTCATCCGCTGTCACCCATTTTTATTGAAGTTGCTTTCATGGGAGTTTTCGTGCTTCCATGGAAATCGCACAGACTCTGCTAAGCGACGAGTTTCCATGCAGCAGGTACTCCCTTGAAAGCTCGTCGCGCACCGAAACCATCTGTGGAACAAGCGCTTCAAAAGGTGCACCCTATTGTCTCAGCGGCAATCTTCCCACCACCTGCGAAGGTTCACGCGCTGAAATGTCGTATTGGATTGGTACGGGCAAAAGAGGAATAGCCAAATCAGCCGATGGGCTGCTAACGATAGGCTGCCCATGAGCGGTTTACCAAATTCCCAGTACTGTGCGAAAATGTACGGGGGCCCCGTGACTGATCCAACCCTGATTTTCACGACTGTGTCTATTCACCTGCGCTGTGGGTTGAGTGGACAGGTGGAGACGAAAGGTGGTGAATAGTCGAGAGAGGACTAGGGAACCTTTACTTGGCTCGCTCATGACGGCACCATTTCAGTGAAAACGGGGCACACACATAGCGTCGCAAATACGCGCTGGAAGACGGCGTTCAATTGGGTGGAGCGTCTTATGCACACGTGTATTACACGGGATACGTCGAACAATGCGACAAAACACGTGTATGTCCTTTGAAAATGTCAAACTGCGTTTACTCGTCTGCCTGAAACATCAGCACCAACCTGCTTCCAGGGCCCGAGGGTAAATATGATCCTACCGAGCAAAGAGTGGATCGTTTCATGAGCACCACGGATGACGATTGCGACTCCACGTGGTCGTCTTGGCCTTCTGTTCAAGAGGCGGCCGTTGCCAGGGGTACTGTGGTAGTGTTCAATGTGTTTCCATCTGTGGGCAACATGTTCGTCATTCTTCACAACATCATCAAGGTAAATATTACGTCGTTAGCAATATGCACTTGTATACAAATGCGCACGAATATGGATGTCCACAGACCGCGTTAATTGCATAACTGTACGCGTTCAAAAAGGTGTTGGTGAATCCACCAGCCTCCAGGTCATCAGTGGTCGAGCAGAAGACACGACAACACATGTATGGATGGGACCACAGGCCGGAATTGGAGGCCCCATCCAAACCCGACGTCTTGGTATTCTAGGCGAAGAGCAACAACAGTGACTTGTAGGTTGAATGTATCCTGACAATCGTGAATTTTCCCTATTGTGAATCTATGCATTTTAACATTCGTTTATATAATGTATTGACATTCGTTTGCTTGGGATGTCGAGGGTCATATATTGTCGATGTTGGAAGGGTGGTTCGTCCATTACCTGCAACAAGCGCCGTGCTCGCGTCATCCACATACATGAATGACCTGCCCCAAAACATTGGTTATTATAGAGATCCCTCCTCGTCTGGTGGGTGGGGTTTCGGCACATTTACTCGCTACCGAAGTTGACAGCTATCCCAAGATAGCCCTTTGGTCGTGAAAGTATAGCACCATAAACTCCAGGTAACTTTGCTTGTGGCTGAGGTACTCGCAGAACTTTCAACTGTGGGCCACAAGTGCCCACTACGTCAGTAGGCGTTCTCCGAAAAAGGTTGGCGCTGCGGGTGAACTTATTTCTGTATATGACGGCTCTCTGTCGAGTTCTGAGAACACCAATCAGTGTATCCCATGAATTTTAAGGACTATTGGGGGTTCATCTTGGTCACGTCAAGAGTGAGCATGTGTCACGGTGGGAATCGATACTTTCTAGAAATACATTCGTAAGCCCGTTGTAAGGCGAAACAGCACGTCGCGTCCATCATATTTTTACGTAGGGGGTCGCAACCCCAAAAGTACCCAAAGAACGAATCTCACACTGACCTCCTGCTTCAACTACAATGCCTTATGTATCGGAATGGGACAATTGCTGACTCACCTGTCGACAAATTCAAAACGTAAATTGGGTGCGTAGCCAATCCTGTTCCTTGTTATTCTGTATGCCACCGTGCGTACCTTTGAACGAAGAGGTCGCGGGCCTCTGTTCCAACAACTACTGAATCAGATTCATCCCCGTTTTTTCCCTTTTATAGACCGCCCGTCTACTCGAAGTGGCGCTGCTTCTCAACTGGCAAAGGTTCGAAGGATTTCGGGAGGCTTTCGACCCGGCTTCAATCAAGTGGGACCTTGACCAGCCAACGCTTGTGCAACAGGCAGCACCGAGGAGTCAAGGTTCGTTGGGAAGAAAGTTTGGGAAAAGTACAAGTTGCGTGTGTAAATTTATTTTGTTCCGCCACATGTAGACAGGGGTATTGCCTTTGGGCAACCGCTCAGCGTGGTCGATCCATTTCACTGCATACACCGCCGGAGGCCCTTGCAGACTGGGAGAACGTGTTCGCGATGGATATCCACGACCACGCTTACTCGTGGCAGAATTTCATCCAAAAATGGTCGAAAGGCCACATGACACAAGAGGCCCTCCCAATCGAATTCGTGGGCACTCCCCGGGCTAGGTGCCAACTTTGGTCGGGAGGGTCGTCATATTCCGATTGGATGTAGGGCGGGATAGATGGCACATGTCGTGAAGATCGCAGCGAGCTCCCACGATAAGCACGAGGAAAATATTTTAACGAAACAATCGCACGCTAACGTGTGACCGAATGAAAAAGTCCTCTTCGTCTGTCCTTAAAACCATTTTGAAAATTTAGTACTGACGATATTTTATGAACTACACGCAGACATGCAGATACCCCGATTTGTTTTCCCGTGAAGCACGCACCTTCAATCGCAACCGACAAGAAAGAGACCGGAACACGTCGCACATGAATGACTGCATCGAGCATAGACGCACAGCATACACATCGGCCGTACTTGTAGACCACCGGAAGTCAATAAGGGGTAGCGCAGCTTTGGTATTGTAGCACGCACGTATACACACCACGCAGCCGTACCCCACAGCAACACATTTCTTGCTATGAGAGACGCACCACGTTCGATCACGCGCGCCCGAATGACATGATCGAGCATGGACACGGAGCACACGTCGGCCGTATTCCCAGACCTACCGCAAGCATAAAAGGTTATAGCGCAGCCTTTCGCAAGCCGTCCATATGTATGTACAGCACACAGCAATTTATTCTTCGTTCGACTACAAATACTTTAATAGCAAACATCTCCGCATGATACGAGACAATGCACCCTACTGTTCTACTTTACTTTTGTAGTGGGTGTTCCTGTTTCCATCACAACCAAAGCAGGCGGAGTTGCAGTCGCTGTCGCGCACCCAGCACACATATCAGTTTGTGTAGTTTAGGTACTAGTCTAAACGGTTGTATTTTGTTTCAAGGGCGTCATCTGTTGATGCTGCCCCGCTTGGGTTCGAGTCCCGACATGTTGCGCTTTGGTTTGGGTACTTTCCGATGATGACTGTCCAGACGATTTTTTGTTGCCGAAGGCTTTGTGTATAGGCATGTTTGTTCAGGGATATCGCGTAGTCTACTGTAGACTACCATTTTACAGGTGCAGTTTATCGATGCACATAAAGCACTGACTCTTTTTTCGGTTACTTTGTCTCCACGGAGGCCACTTTGTTCGTATACCTCTCCTTTTTTCTTCGTTTCTCCAGTTACACTTTGTGTTCGTTTTCCTTGGTCCCGTAGTACACGTTACAACCGTTGCTATCGTCAAAATGCCTTCGCGAAAAAAGAAAAATTATCGACCATTGCTGAGGCACGATTGATTCATGACCTGCGCGTTGGTTGTACGGGACATATGCTTTTAACACGAAGTTTGGGTTATCCAAGAAATAACGAAATATATTGGTCGAGAGGTCCCTAACTAAATGATTGACAACATCGACCCTCTACACAACACACGTCGACCGTTCTCGCAGACCTTTTCGATCTATATCACCGAATATCTCCCCCCCGCCCACTGGGCAATGCTCCACCATAAGCATCCTTACATGAAGTTATATATTATTATGCAAAATCCTTGCCCTCATTGTAGAGGATTTCGTTCACACCAAGTATTAGACTAATACATGTTTGAGGTCGTTTCACACAAGGAGAAGGACCTACACAGTATCAAACCAATCTCCCAGTAATCTACGTGCCCATGCGATGTGGGGTCGTCAATTCGATCCACATTGAAGATTTTGTAGTACAGTACAGATCGTAAGACAACCACACGAAGTTAGACTGCCCCAACATAACCATGCAATTTGGCTGTTCTTGGTGTCAATTTCGGTCCATCGTTCGTTGTGACGAATACCGTTTTCCGTGTTCCATAAACAATTCTCGGGAATCAGGTGCCGAAGCCGAACGTCTTTACCCTTTCACGTTCCCGGATGGTCAGATGGTACTTTCCCACTGGCAACTAGAAACCATCGCACGAAAGGTGGGCCTCCCTGGCACAAGCGTGGATGAAATGGCCGCAGCACTCGAAGAGGGCTATTCGAAGATCGGCGGGCTGGGGCGTCTCTCCAGAGAAACTGTGCAAAATGAACGCTTTTCGGTTCTACCATGTGCCTGGAACATGCTCCTAAGACGCAGGTACGGTGTTCGCTGACAATCGGTCTAGATTTTGGAAGTCGGTCTTTCAGAGAGCGCGTATGTTCCTCGAAAAGTCGTTTATGGAGTGGTTGAAGTTAGGAGTGTCTCCGTAAGGAGAGTGTCTTAGTCCTGTCGGACGGCGTTGGGACCGTGTCTTGCCGCGAAATGGTCTGATTGCCTCCTGCCTTCGACCGATTGTGGTTCAGAATGTTGTCTTTGTTTTACCGCTCTGTACCTTTTGCATGTTTGACCAAGACTTCGCGTCAGTACAGGCCGGGGGGCTTCTCCCTTGCACGGTTCGTGGGTCGCTGTGGGCGATTAAAAGTTTACGAAACATCTTTGTCACGTTTACCGGCCTGCTCTTATGGTATCCTCGGTTGTAGGGATGCTTCTGGCAGGCTCATACTTTCGCCGCGCAAAGCATCTTTTGGACGGATCGGCCCCTTGTCTCTTCGATATTTCTTGTATAGATAAGCACTAAATAGGAATGCCAGCGGGCAGCTTACAATCGTTTACATATTTGAGATCCACGGTATCCATAGTGTTTCCTATGGAATAACCAATACACTCAGGGTAGACTCATAAGCCGCAAGTACAACTTGACAGTCCCGCCTAGGCATGTACTACTGCCCGATCACTTGGAGCGACCTCGGTCTTCTCCAAGGTCCACCAACCTATTATAATAGCACCTACCCCAGGCATCAACAATCTACGGTAATCGCTTTACCGGGCACCTAGAACCTAGTTCATAGCAGTCCAACTTAAAGATTTTCCCATCAACATGAACGTAGCGCTGCAGGTGTGCAATATTTTGGACGGGGAAAATTTGAGCTACTCCTTTATTCCTTTCTGATGTATTTCGACCAAGTGGATGAATCTTACCCCGTTTCAGAGAAACAGATCCGCGTGGAATAAACGATCTCGCATTGTTTGATTTTGATGGAAATATGTTCACTGGACCATTTTTCGTATCAAAATATTTGGACATCACAGGTTCACGATGTGTGCATAGTAAGTAGGCCAGTGGCTACCCATGCGGGAAATGGCGTTGTGACCGAACAACAAACGGCCACAACATTCTGTTGGTGCATATTAACCATCTTTTCCACAACATCGCGAATCTGTGACGTCCATATATTTTGATGGGGATAATGGTTAAGGGTAGTTCCTTTTCGGAAAACATGTGTCTGGAGACTAATTCACCGTTCATCCATTTTCGTCAAGATCGAAAGTAATGCGAGTTTTCGTTGATTCCCGGCGGATCTGCTGCAAAAACGTGGTGTGGTTCACGCACTTGGTTTTCGAAATACACCAACGGAGAAAAGGAGTCCAAATTTCATTGTGCTTTATTTTGCACACTTGCAATTGGTAATTTCGGCACAGCAACCTTGTCTCTCCCCCCGGCCTGCCCCTCTCCCAGCTGGGGTGGGCCGAGGTCCGTAAGTGGACGTAAACACCTCGAAACACCTCCCAACAAAGGCGGATACACAGGCTCTAGCACTGATAAGAAGCGGATCAAGAGTTTCGCTGTCGGGAACTCACGCTGTTGTAACATCCGGCTGGCTCGCGACCTAGCCGACTTGGGTAGCTGCAAATGAGACTGAATGCAGGAGCCCCGGCTTGAACGTCGGGGCCATGCAGCAGCAGAGGACACGGGGTGCGCCGTGGGGGTATGCACCAGAGAGGGTATCGTAGAGGGTCCAGAGCTTGCGGGTCGCATCGCTCCGGGACAAGACAAATCGCTGGGACAAAAGGCAAGCACCGGGGTATTTGTAGCTGAGCCCGAGAGCCCGCAAGTAAATATAACGACAAGAAAGGGGGCACGAATGAGGAAAAGGAGGGGACGGGCGAAGCGTAGGATAGCTAAGAGAGCAGCACGCACCTCCCGAAAGTGACAGCAGGGTAGACTTCTCGGGGTAGCAACCTGGAATGTGCGGACTGTGGCTGTAAACAGGTAGAATGGGTACGGGCGAACCTACAGCATTTTACAAGCGGGAGCGAAGCAAGATGTAGGAGGTAGGGCTGCAGGAGACCAGGAGGCCAGGTCAAACGGAGTTCGCAGCAGCGACCCGATTATTCTGTTGTGGTATGGAGAAGCGTGATAACGATGATGTGGAAATAGGCGTTAAAAGTTACTGCGCAGCACCTCCAAATTCACCACGAGCCATTTCGATGAACGCCTCATGGCCATGAGGTTTGAGGTGACCTGCCACCGCGGAACTGTCAACTTTCCGTGACAGCAAGGCATCGTCTGGGAAAACTTGACAGTCTCATGCGGAGGATTCCCTCCAAGAAATAAGTGTATATCCTGATGGACGCCAAGGCTCGGACGGGCGAGAGGATGGATGGGGTGGACGAGGGCTCACGGGGATGCACGGGCGTAAATGAGCTCAACGAGAATGGCCGATTCCTGCTGACCTTCGCAGCGGAGAAGAAGCTAGCACTCGCGAACACGTTCTTCGAGACACGCAAGGACGGAATATCGCACGCCTACAATGGTGCGTATGGGACCGACCGCTGGCGCCTCGACTGCATTCCAACGCAGCAGGCACACCGTGGCCGAGTGTCTAACATGGTTGTCATCCCCCAGCCAATGTACCCAGTCAAGGCGGCCTCAGACCACATCATGTTGCGAAACATCCTCCCGGAGGACCAATGCGGGTTTTGAACTGGACGATCCACCATCGACATGATGTTTGTCGTGCGCAACCCCGAGAGCTGGGGCGGAGAAGCAGAAAAACACTCTTCACGTGCTTCGTCGACCAGAAGAAGGCGTATGATTCGGTGGACCGAGACCTGCTGTGGAAGGTGCTGGCCAGGGACGGGATTCCTAAGGAGATGATCGCAGTCATCCGCCAATTCCACGACGGAATGCGGGCCCGGGTGCGCATGGACGATGCAGAGTTTCCGGCCTGTGTCTGGGTCACACAAGGCCTGCGACAAGGGTGGGTGCTGTCCCCACTGCTGTTCGATATCCTCTTCACCGCGGTCATCGAGGGGTTGCCATTTGATTCAGCGAGGGTGATATTCTGTAGAACCTCGTGTGCCTAGAGGATAAGACGGGAGCGCCGGCGAAAACACCACTTGAACGAGTGCGGAGGGCACTATGGGGGATTCTGTTTGCCGATGACGCCGGCGTCGTATCGGGTTCTGCCGAAGGACTGGCGAGAATGATTACCGGAATCCTGAAGGTGTTCGGGGAGTCGGCCTGACGGTATCGGACAAGAAGACGCAAACGTTCCTGATGCGCGCAATGGACAAACAGACACAACACCCCCGCCCCCCTCGCCGTCACCGCTGATCATCAAGGCCACAGCGCAGAGGTACCCGCAGACGGCTGAATTTCGGTACGTAGGTGGCCTCGTCAACGAGCATGGCGACCTCACCCGGAAGATCATATACCGGAGCAGAGTAGCGTCGGCATGCGCCAAGCGATGTGGCCAGCAGCTGTTCGACAGGTCGAGGCGATGGAGGCACTTCTGTTCGGCTGCATGACATGGGACCGACGTCAAGACCAATACCGAACGTTTCGGACGATACCCCACCGACTGTTCTTGCGAGTTGTCGGTTACCAACTTAATAAGGGCACCTATCGGCAGCTTTCCTTACGGCCAGACCTTGAAGAGGGTTGGGTGACAGGCCGTGGAAACCACTTTTCGGCAACGGCACCTGCTGTTCGCGGGAGCGCCGGCAAGGCAGCCAGACCGACCACTCCCGAAACGGGTGATGCTTGGCGAACTGGTGGGGGGGGAGGGCCCAGACAAGGGGAAACCGGAGCAAAACTGGCAGATGTGCCTTAAGGGTGACCTCAACATGTTCGAAGCAGAGCACGGACCTACCGACGCCGAGCCATGCTTCTCCCGAGCCCTAGAAACAACTTGGAAGGAAGCAGCGAAGGTAAGAGGTTCATGGCATACAGGGATACGGCAGGGAGCTAAGAGGTTTTTGGCCTTTTGGCCCAAGAAGGAAGAGGAGCCTAGCTGACAACGAGCACTCAAACCAAACACGAAGCCCATTAACAACACCAAGACGGCATCAACCACGGGGGCGGAAGAAGTGCAGCAGGCGGACGAGATGGCGAGGAAAGGGAGGGAACGCGAAGAAGCGGTTCGAGTGGCGCGGAGCACCGTGCAGAGTTGAACCTTGCTTGACGTCTTCCCCACCCCCTCGCGCCATTACACCATTTCCCCGACCCCCCGCGACCGATGACGTGTATGGGCTTGTTTTGCTTTTCGTGCTGTCTTGTGTTGTTATGCTTGTTTTTTTTTTTTTGCTGTCGTTACGGCGTGTCGTTCTCTGTGTGTGCCTTCCTTCCTATCCCTGTCCCTTCATCTGCTCTCTTTCTGTTCTCTATTTTCTTCTTTTGTGATGTTTTTCCGAGCTACAGGGTTAGCTCGCATAGCAGCGGCGAGCGGAGTGGCCTAGACTATCTGTCGTTGACGTTTATTGGCTTGTGGACCCTTCGCGTCCATTTTTTTGTCGTATACGTTTTTGCGTGAGCTAGCCTGTGACCACGGGAATCGACCCCGTCAAGTGTTAGACTCGCACATACAGAAGAAGGTACTTGGCAGAGAGAACGGAACGGTTTTTTATGTGAAGAAAACAACAACAAGCACCAAGAACTAACCACCCAGTGCCAACCTAGCACAAATCATGTGGTGTAAGGGTTCGAGGTCTAGGCAGTGCTTACGTGTGAGACACGACACGCACATTACGAACTGGAGCCGTACACATCCGCACTTGCATGCTAATACGTTGAGGCCAAAGGCGGCAGCGTTAGACCCCAGTCCGGCAGGAGAGGGTGTATTCGGGGTGCGAGAAGTAACAGATGCAAGGCCCCCACGTTCGGGCGCCAGGCGCGCTCGCCTCCAGGGTTGGGCTGTGAAGGAAAGGCTGGCGCGGGTGAAGCTTACGACAGCACACCGAGGGCTCGACGAAGTTAGAAAAGATCTTCCGACTATTATGAACAAATATTGCAACATGATGGAATATACCCGAAAGCTCTGTCAACTTTTTGTAACGTTGCTGTGCTACAGGCAGGGTAGCCTGCAGTTTTCCGGGCTAATGCATTATAAATAGTTGTATTCCCCGAACGTATGAAACTCAGGAGGTGCACAGAAATTCTGGAACTTCGCTGGGATGCATATTTTACTGACCTTGGAATACAGCTGAATCAAGTAGCTGGATAAATATGAGCCGTTGCGGCATGACGGACACAATATGAACGACTTGTACTTTCATTCATTCCACACCCGCAGTGACCCCATCCTTGCACAAATTAGATTTTGTTCGCAGTGTAAAACCATGCTTATATGCTGGTGTAAGGAAAAATGGTTCGCTCCATTCTATGCTGAATTCGGTTTTGAACTATTGTTCGCAGAGTACTGCTGCTGTTTCGCAGGTAGATTCAGGTGGGTCCGCACCATGACCCTACTGCTGATTTAGGTGGGTGACCCTACTGCTGATCGTGTTGTGTGTTCGTGAGTTGTGTTGGAGAACTACTCCCATGTTGGTAATAATGCGGATTCAGGAGTCATCTACATTCTGGTACCTTTAAGCACCCACCGGCATACCAAACTAGGCAACAGACATCGGTAGATCAACCTTAAACTTCGCCAACAACGCCAACCCAACACGCATCGTTTGGGCTTGGGGTTAGGACGTATCGTTTGGGCTGTGAGGGTTGGGGTTAAGGATTTCATCCAAAATATTGCCAGTTCCTAAGCAGATGTATCTATTGAATTATGGTTTAAGAGTATACAACTTGTGGTTCCGGTTGAAGGGCACACCCATTTGCCGCCCAAAAGCTGCCCATGTTCGCCACAGATGCGCATCACGTGGTGCCCATGGGCGGTTTCGCATGACTGTAGATGGTGTGGGAGACTGTATGTTCATGAATGATTGTTTCCATGAGCGTCCGAGAAACGTTTCCTTGAACGTTTCATGCTTTCTTGGATGTGTGTGTGTGGGTGCGTGTGTGTCTTCTTCCTATTTATTATGGCGACAATCCCCCAATTTTTCGTGGTTAGACGTGTACGACACTTTTCAGCGTATTTAGAGTACTACACTTTTCAGTGTATTTTCCGTACGACTACAACTATCCAGGGTCACACAGGAGGGGGTAAACACCAGGGCTTTTTTCTTCTTTATATTTCTTTTCATGCCCCACCTTCCTCCTGCGGTGCGTGCTGAATTGTATTTTTATGGCGAGAAGGGTCCAACCGTCCCTTTCCCTCGTGAACGGTGCTTACGTCTAAGTTTGGTACTCACGAGAGCTTGTCAGCTATTTCTCGCTTTCACCCGCACATTTGGATGGATGTTCATGAGACATTTCATGAACGTTCATATGGGCGTTCATCGAACATGAACATTTCATGGACGGTCCATGGCCGCAACTGTCTTCATCGGCATTTATGACACATTTCAAGCACGTTGACGGGCGTTCATCAATGCATGTCATGCATGTCCATACAACACATGTTATGTAATGTTCTACGATAAACTGTGACTCATGGAACGTTGAACGACGAAACAAATGTAATGGGCATTCATGGAAAGTTGCACAAACCATGGTTAAGAATGTCATGAAAATGCATTGAATTCCATGGCAGTATCATGGAATTCCATGGAAGTCTCGTGACCTTTCATGGCCTTTCATAGGCTTACGAATAACCGGATTCAGGTATGTCCGTTCCACCACTAACCCTATAAACTACTCAATTTGGTTGGCTGTCGTGTAGGCAGGAGACACAGAAGGTTGAGGTCCGGTACATTGGTTGGAACTGTTTGTGCGTGTAGCCGGCAGGATACGAATGTTGGAGATTTCCGGGGGTTACGCAGATGATGATGTTGTACATGATTTATGTGTGATGGACTTCACGCGTAGGATCTGCTTGCCATGCCCATGTCGCTTACTTGCTAATCGTTAGTGAAGGAACTTGAGTCACTCCTTTATGCGACACGCTCTCGAAAAAAACCCGCGAGCGTGATAACATAGTACACGCGCCGACACCCCAAACACGATATATCGTGGAGTCAGCTAACGTCGGTAGGGAAAGGTTCGGGAGGTAGGCATCGGGATACAAGAGCAGCACCAGCGGGCGGTTTTTGCCCGCGCCCGTCAAGGAGATCCGGGGAACAGGGTGTGGAGTACAAGGGCAGCAGCAGAAAGCGCGCCAAGGAAATCCAGTAAAAGCGTTTAGAACACAAGGACAGCAGCAGTAAGCTCGTCAGGAAGATGCAGCAACGCGAACAAGAAGCAGAAAAGTTATAGGTATGGAAAGCGAGGAGAAAGACAAGATGATGCAACGGAGATAGGATGAATTAGTGGGGCGGATGGAAAAGGTAGAGCTTGAGAGTGAGGAGGAAAGGGAAAAGGTGCGGGAGATGCATAAAGCGGAAGTGACTAGGAGTACGGCTGTAGGTGCGGCGCGTGCTGGGGCGGCTGGCAGAACGGCATTCGGTCAAGCAGTGAGCATGACCGACAGCGGTAGCCAGGTTTCGGCGATCATATTGGTGGCACTCGCAATCCAGCGAAGCATCCGCACGACTCAAGCAAGTTTACGAGCTGGTCACGGCGTATGCGACCTTTCCTCGCTGTCGAGGGTTTGGAGCAAACCTTTGACCACAAACCATCAACCGGTTTTGTCCACGTGATCAGCTGCCCGGGTAGAGCCCACGGCATCTTTTGCACAATGCGTGCTGTCGGAAAATTGTGCATTTTTGTCGGTCATGGCGCGCCCGAGTACGACGTCGAGCGAAAGTCCGCATTTCCCGATGCCGACATTTCCCGTGCGAGAGTTGAGAGCGTTGTCTGCAAAGCCGACTCCAACGCTAGAACGAAGCGGCTGGAGAAGGTGAAGGTGTCTTCGGCGACGTCGGTGGTTTTCGGTCCGGCGTCGGCAGCGGCGGCAGTGGCCTCGGCGGCGGCTCTCGGAGAGGGGGTGGTTTTTCCAATGGTGGGAGGTGGGGAGCGAGTCAGTAACAGCTACACCTTGGCGCGCACCGGATGTACCAGTCACAGCAGCAGTATCAACAGCAGCCGCCGCAGCCGCGACAGCCGTCGGCACAACACGCCGCACCGTAACCCCCGCTCCCACGCCATCCGCCTCCGAACGACACGACGTGGGGCCTGGGGGATCAGGATTTGGTCATGCTCTCCTCGTCCGGACGGACTACTGTGTCGACCTTGACTAGAGGATGTATCGAGTAGCCCTCGACCCCACCAGGTTTCTTTCCCTGGGCCAACCCAGCCCGCCTTGCCCTATCTTGGCCTCCCGTTCTTATTTCCGTGATTCCCTTGTTTATCTGATCGGACCGCATTTTCAGCTGTTTTGGGTACTGCTTCGTACATGCGCACATATCAGAATTTCGTGCTGCGTTCTTCGCCTGGAGGGACTGCCTATCTTTTCCGTCTGCATGTTGTTTCGTTTTTTGTTATTTGTCATATGTATTCCCTGTGCTGCAAACACATGCTGGGAAGATGAACAACACTATTTGTCACAGCCGTGCTCACCGCCGCAGACCGCAAACCCCTGAACGGGAGGTTGTCAGCAGTAGCTGGTGGTATCAGGTACTGCTCTACACCCGCCGTTCGGAAGATTGGGGTCAGTGGCGGCGAGCATGGCTGTGACACAAGTTGTATGCCACTTGGTTTCGGCGCAGATTTCGGACTGTTTTCAGAGCCTACTGCGCTTTTCGGTATTTCAGCTCAGTAAAAAAACCTGAACGTGCCAGCACGCGCGACGCCTGTTGATGTATTCTACTGATGACACGAGAAGGCGTCACCTAACCCAAAAAACTGACCATGTTTGAGCGTCTTTCGTTGTGACTCTTTTCACTAGAAATTTGAACAATGTGATTTTTTTCCTGATACCAACGGATGCGTGTGGAGGTTGACGCGTGAATTGCATGCTTTGAACCGCCTTTACTGCCGACCTGCGCGAACATCAACGATTTCTGTTTTTCGCGGTTCCTTCCGACTGGTCTGGTATGTCTGTTGTGCAATTTCTGGTGCTCTTACGTCTATTTCCAAGATTAGTCACCATCAATATTCGTCTTCTGCACCTCTATGAAACCAAGGAATTTGGTTGAGGGGCAATCTATATTGCCCTAAAGAAACCGCTTAAAATGAAATAGGCTCTACACAGTGTAGGGCATCCACAGCCTGCGTGTCAGATCTGAATCCCATTTCTTAATCGCGGACCACCTTTATACGACCGTCCATTATTTCTGGTGCAGCCCTGCCATGATGGCAAGCCTGGAGGCTCACAACCCGTGGATGACGCATGAGTTCAACCCTCGGCCGAAGAAATACGTGGCGTGGCATATCAGGACTTCGCATGGGGAGACCAACGGTTCGTTCACGCCACATGTTCATACGTACATTTTCCACCGTCAGTCATCAACTTCAGTGTTGCCGATTTTCCTGTCTGCAACCGACGCCGCGGAGAGGATGTGCCCGAGGTTCTTCGACCAAGACGTTCCAATCACGCCAGTTTACATATCCTCCAACAGGTGCGACACCATACCCAAGTGGGATACCATAAGCGATTTCACTGCCTTCACCATACGTAGCTTGTGACACAGGCAAGACCGTGCCGACGTCGATGGGTCAGTGCGTGCACCACAATCATGCGTAATACCATAGACTATACGAAAACGGTGCCTTTCGTACTATCACTCGCTGACTTCGCCAAATGCCAGATGTTCTCGACTTCCATCGATTGCTGTGCCTGACGCCCATGCTATTGTTTGCTGTTTTTCCATTGCTTGTCGTCTGTGTTATCTTGCCGATCTTCCGGACTAACAGCAAAACCATGGCGCGCAATTGCACGGTGCTCGCTGCTACCCTCGCTGCTGAGCACAAGGTTGGGCCTGGGTTTGTTGACCTCGGTATAGACGATGTGGACGCCCACACGACATTCAGCAAGAATCCAAAAGCGACGGCTTTGAACGCGTTCATCGACTACCTGTATCTGATGGACTCTTCCATCATTGTGCAAACCGGATCGTCATTTTCGTTTACCGTTGCATCTATCAAGGGCATGAGCTGCCACGGAGTAGCAAAGCCTGAAGGATTGCCTGTGAAAAACCTGAACGTCTGCTTGCCGGCTGACTGCTAAATGTTCGCAGAGGGAACCCAACCGCTGATTTCGTGCATGTGGTCCCGTCTGCTTGCTGTGTGCAGTCGGCGTGTCCGATGGGAAATCGTGTTGTTTCTTGTTGAACCGTCACAGTACGCAACGGAGGTCTTGGGGTTTCGTTTTGTCCATCCATCTGTCTGTGTGCGTATGGAGGGTTACTCAATGTTGGGGTGAATAGCTTGAGGTAGCATAGGGTCGGGCTAACCGCTTCTTAGACTCGACGGCCAACGCTCGATTAATACGTAAGACATCCTGCTAATAACACGAAGGTGTTGTTGGCGCCATGCCCAATGCGGCTGGACGAGCAAGGCGTACACAGCAGTGTTCAGGCACGAAAATGTTGAGGGCCTAAAAAAAAACACTAGGTACGTGAGTGCTGGGGTTAACTCTCACGTGAATACACCCACAAATGAAACCCGTTCCCAGCTCCGATCACCGTGCGTGCCCGACGATCGCCAGTGTGCCTCGCTCATTAGAATTCTTAAGCCCCAAGGCCTCGGCTTTCTGTTCGGAAAATTCTCGGACCTTTAGATTATTCGATGTAGGCCCCACCAAAACGTGACGCCGCTAAAAAGTGGCCCCACTCTTCGCTTCACTTGGTTTAGATCATTAGGCGATCTCCCGTCTCTCTCCAAAAGGAAGTTGTTCTTCTTTGGTAGATGGTTGTCGAGATTGCAACAACAGATTTCGCGTGGGTGGACGAGTTGTCCCTCCTGGCCCCGGCCGTCCCTCCTGCAAGTTTCTTCCAAACCCTTTTTTCACTTCTTGATAACTCGTCCGTCGTTGTATTCCTATTCCGAAGCCCGATAGGGATTTCTGTCGCCGATATTCTCAGAGCCTTATTCCTAGAGATTTTTGCACGAATCAATTGTTTGATTCGTGGCAAACGTCTCGTCGTGGAGTATTCGAGCTTTGAAAATCGATGCAGGGGGTGTGGTATCTTCCGCAACCCACTGCTGCTCTCCACGGACTTGTATTGGTAACAACCAGCCGACGGTTTGCCGCGAGCGGCTAGCGTTGCTCCCACTGTCACTTACGGCCCCCACCCCCCGCCGCCGCCGCGGCCATGGCCTTTCACTTCTCTCCACCCTATGATCTCATCGTATTACATCGAACACGATGTAACTATCCTTTGCAAAAGTAGCAATATGGAAGGGCTTCTAAATGACTCCACGTTGTGATGGCGCTCCCGCCGCATGTATCCTCTCTGGGTAGAAAAACACGGGCTAGGCATGATTCGAACCCACTGCGGTATGCCGCAGGGTACGTCGGGCCATTGACTGTAGACCTATAGACGGATCTTCTATGAGCTGAGGGCTCACGAGATTGCAGGAGATTCAATCCTGATGTTGTAGTGGGCCTGGAGCCTGTTTCTCGCGGTTTCTCCGCCCGTAGACCTCGCCTCGAGGAGAGACTTGCCCCTACCCATCGCCCTGCGTTGCGAGGGCTCTCCCGGCGTGCCGTGCGCTCTCGGGGCTGACTGCGTTCAGCGGTCGTGAGGGCACAAAGTCGCGTCCTCCATGGATCCACCAATCATGCCCCGATTTCTTGGCAGTGCAGGCCATTCATACGCTCTCGGGACGGACTGCGTTCAGCGGTCGTGAGGGCACATAGTCGCGTCCCCGGCATCTACCACGGATCCACAAATCATGCACCGATTTCTTGACAGTGCAGGCCATTCATGCATCCGGCAAGCGGCTGACGTGGTGCGCGTGCGCTGGCCACACGCTACACACCCTTTACCATACACGCCAACCAAGCCACCCAGTCTCTGCATGACACGAGACAAAATGCTACACTGTTGCTGGGCGTCTCCCCTTCGATCCCGGCGAAAAGCGGGAGGTCTAGCGGCCGGTGTCGTGCGCACAGCTGTCCGCAGTAGTACGCCCGCCTGAGGTAACGAAGAATAATGGCAGCACTTATTTTTGTTGCGGAAAATTTTCTGGCTGCTACCTACCCCTACCGCACGAAAGCAGCAGTTTATTGTTCAGCGGCTACGGCGACCGCATCCCACCAACACACACCAAGACACGAAGTTCTACAATTATCTGACTCCAAGAGCCCTCTGGCAGAGCACATTACAGTACTACTGCTGCTGTGGGTTCTCTTGATTTTCATAAATCGGCAATAGACTGTTTCGGAATTTGCCGGAAAAGTTCACTTTCATTTTTATTGGGAACCGTTCCTGGGAAAGTTCTTGTTCATACAAAAATTCATTTTTAGGGAAAAAAAAATATATAGATGTTGTGGACAGTCGTCTCGTGGTGATTGGTGTAGGTCTCGCCGCATCTAGGCGCGGTGGAATACAGGTTTGGCCGCGTGTTTTTTGAATATCACACACCCGAGAGGCCGACAGGCGGGACACATCCCAACGGTCGCACCGAGAGCACGCTGCCGGCGTCACCAGCGCCCACAGACTTCCCCAGGGCCTCCCACCATGTCCCGCCTACGCATCCGGGATCGAATTGCTCGCAAGAAGCGAGCACTGCTGCTGATGCAGTGGCAGCAGTCCTATAGCCTCTACACCAGCATGTGGTTCGCTTCCCACGTTGCATCTACACTCTGGGTCGCCTGGCCATCGATGATATCCCGACCGGTGCTGCACGGAGGGGCATGGACAACTTTTTCAGCCCTCAGGACTGCGTGGAGTTTATGAGGTTCACGCGAGACCAGGTAATTCTATCTATTGAATGACGTTTGTAACGCTGGTGCTGTGTTGCTGCTGTGTGCCTGCTGTGTGTGCCTGCTGCTGTCGGGAGTGGACAAAGAAAGACAGATAGACCATGACCGCGCACAAAAGACCGCGAGTTGTGCTGTGACGAGAGCGACACCCGAAGGCACCAAATGCACACAGCAAGGTTGAGTGTTGCGTCAACAAACGGCTACTGCATGTATTTTGACAAAAACTATCATGCTGCTTCGGATCTTTTTGTGCGGCAGATCGTACTCATGCTGGAACTGCTCATGGTGCCTGCCATCATTCGGACAGAGTGTGGCGTTGTGGTGGGCGGACGAGAGGCCCTTTGCGTGCTGCTGTACCGACTTGCGTTCCCGTGCCGTTTGAAGGACATGCGTCTGGTTTTCGGCCTGAGCGAATCCTGTATCTGCGAGACTTTCAATTGGATGCTACACATCATGGATGTCAAGTTGCGGTTCCTCCTCTCCCTGGACGTTCAACGGCTGGTACCTAAGCTTCGTACTTTTGCGGAGGCGGTTTACAACAAAGGTTGTCCCCTGACACACTGTTGGGCCTTCATCGACGGAACTGTGCGCGGTATTGCAAGGTATGATCCGGAAGCCGTGCCCACGTTGATGAGTGGTAGTTGTAAAAAGCACTTGGGTGAAACGGCGTCGTTTATGTCCCTCTACATTTGTATGTCTACTTTGGCGAACGGTAGCTAACCACAACAACCACTCGTACGGGTTCACTTTTATGAATAAGGAGCAAGGTGGGTAACATCGACCCCTAGACTACAGGGAAGATTCCAGAGGTGGTTTTGCCAACACGACGCAAGAAAATGCACTCCGCTATATGCGGCAAACTTCACGAAAACATTGTCGGATGCAAGAAAGTTGATCGACCACCCCGAGCGTCATGTTGTCGAAGATGTTTGCGTCTCAGGCCTATACGCAACCAGCGCTTTTTCTACAGCGGGTACAAGAGGAAGCACGCCATCAAGTTCCAAGGAGTCGTGACGCCAGACGGGCTGATTGATGACCTGTACGCCGCAGAGGTTGGAACGAGGCACGACGGCTACTTGCTTGCGCAGTCTGCACTACTTGAGAAGCTACAGACCCACATGAACAGCCCTTCAGGCCACCCGTATTGCTTGCATGGTGATCCAGCGTACGGTCAGACCGATCACGTACAGTGCCCTTTTAGTGCATCTGTCAATGGCCTCCTTTCTTCCGCGATGAGAAACTTTAACAAGAGCATGAGCCAACGCCGAGTGACGGTCGAATGGGGCTTCAAGGAGATGACTAGCAAGTGGGCCTTCGTTGGCATGAAGTGCCAGCAGAAGTTCCTGCTGAGCCCTGTAGCAACGCAGTACAACGTAGCAACACTGTTGTCAAACTTCCACTCCTGCCTGAACGGCGGCAACCAGATTTCACAGTACTTTGGAGTAGAGCCTCCCACGCTGGAAGAGTACCTCAAGGTGTAAGCCTCAGCGGTTTGTCAGGGAAATATGTTAGTCCAATCGCACTTATGGTAGACAGGAAACTTGTTTGTGCCGAAAGGTTACGGCTTGCAAAGTGGGAAGTTGCAGATGGGGATATAGTATTTCTTTCAATCAGGAGAGGACTTGTACTACCTGGTCATTACGTTGAGAAGGAGATTTCCGCACGAGGGCTAGGCAGTGTGAGAATTGTCACCACACCAAAGATCCCCAAAGGTGNCCAATCAGGAGAGGACTTGTACTACCTGGTCATTAGGTTAAGAAGGAGGTTTCCGCACGAGGGCTAGGCAGTGTGAGAATTGTCACCACACCAAAGATCCCCAAAGGTGGTTTAGTTCCTATTCCACCGAGTGCTTCTGTGTTTGTTGGACAGCTGAGATGACGTCTGGCCTTTGCATCTGTTTCGTGCGGGGCTGGTTGCACGATGCACGATATAACTCGGGAGTACTGCAAGTGGTTTTATTTTCGTTCTATGGCTGCCCCTTAGCCGTTCCACCTCCTTCCCCACCCTCTGTGGAACTTCGACTCAACACGCCAACTCCAGTCGACGTCGTTTTTATTTTTCAAGCACGCGCTCTCTCTCCGTTCAACCAACCAAAA